CATAATCAAATTGCTTAACCATTGATAAAGAGAAAATTATAAGAAGTCATAGAGAAGATACAAAGATAGGAGAGAGCTAATTTTTTAGTTGGAAACAATGCAAGTAAGAAGATAGTGAAGCAACACCTTTGAAGTTCTGAAAGGAGCTTTAAAGAGAGTAATTTATCCAGTAAAAATATATTTCAGATATTCAAATCCATAGCACCAATATGAGACAAAGGCCCTAAGGAAGGCCTTCTGACAGTCCTCAGGGACTTACTCTGGTCAATGATACACTAAAGATGAAAACAGCAAGGTAACTGCTAAGACATTTGAGAGAACTACTAACGATCACCTGAAAGAAGTGCCATACTTGATTTCCTTACCTCCCTTGCAGCTAAGGGTAGCCATTATGATTCAGTTTTGGCCAATGAAATACAAACAGAAGTCCTTGGGAAAGGTTTGCCTTTCCAACTTATAAGGCAAAATCTTGGTAGGAAAAAACCACAACTCAATCCCTTCCCTTATCCCTTTTGTCTGATTGGATGCAGGTGGGAGAGTTGCAGGTACAAAAGCACTTGTAACCACGAGGAAGCAGGCAGGAAAGCAAAGATAATGTACTAAAGATGGTATAGCAGAAAAACTGACGGGACCTCTGATGGCATTACTGGGATGAAATGCCATGGGACTTACTGTTGTATGAGATAAATTCCTACTTGTTTCAGCCACTTTGGGTGGGTTTTTGTTATTGTAGCCATGCAATTCTAACCATACAGATAGCTCAGGGTGGTAGGTAGAATAGAAAGGGCTGAGGCTATTTGTAGGAGATACATAGTTAAAGGTTATTAAACCAAGAGGCTGGATCAAGTATCCAGGCTTGGATATTTGTATTGGCCATACTGGATGGGAGTAACAGAAGGATGGAGGAACAGAAATTCTGGAAAATATAGGTCAGGACTTGAACCAAAAACCTTGCTGGTTAGACTCATGGTTCTTCCCCATGGTTTGTGTAATTTGGGGAAAGAGAATCCCATCAATATCATTTTTTTTTCATTTCAAGTATTTTCAATACAACAGATGTACCAATTTCGTAAGCTGCCCGCAGCTTATATATAAATGAGAGGATTTGGAGGAGAATAAGAAGTGCTAACTTCTTCCTTAGATGGACTTGTACTTAATTTTTCAAACCAACCTGGCTGGCTGTGACTGAAGGCAAGTCACAACTACTACAGACCACAATAAATCCAATGGATTATTAGATTGAGCCATTAAAGGCTTTCTTGGCTGGGAATGGATAGAATACTGCTCTTCACTCATTATTAAGTACACACATTGTGCTTAGCATTATATAGCATGTCATAGGTACAACAGCACCATGTTCCTTTGGAGCTTCCAAGAGACAACCATGTAAGGAGGATGACTCACAGTATGGCTAACACACATTTACAAAATGCAGTAAGTACATTAACAATTATGACAAACAGGTTTCTCCAACATACAGAATYATTTTAAAGCTGTGGAATCTGTAAAAGATATTTGTATGGCTGATGTCTTTTTCTTCAGGACTTTGTCCTCTTCAACACTTTTTTGCTCTGCATGTCTCTTTGGATTTAAGTTCTGAAACATGAATAAATAAAAATTGGAGGAAAAAACCTAGATAAAACCTAGATACAGGCAGTCAGTTACAGGCAGTGCATTGTGTGCACACCTGTAATCCCAGCAGCTCGGGAGGCTAAGACAGGAGGATCGAAAGTTCAAAGCCAGCCTCAGCGACCAAGAGGCAATAAGCAACTGGTGAGAACCTGTCTCTAAATAAAATACAAAATAGGGCTGGGGATGTGGCTCAGTGGTTGAGTGCCCCTGAGTTCAATCCCTGATACCAAAAAAAAAAAGAAAAAAAACAAAACAAAAAAACAAAACAAAACCTCTTATGAAACAAAGATTGCAGGAAGAAACTACTAGGATCCTGTGTCCTTCCTGGAGAATCTATCATCCAGAAATCAGGTGTTTTGTCTTTTTCAGAGTCATGTTCAAACAAGTCTTCTAGGTAACTATTAAAAAGAAGATACAGGCAGTCAGTTAATGGAGAAAGACCTGGAAGGATATATACCAAGTTTCTGATATCAGTTATTTCCAGAAGACAGAAATGGAAAGATTATACATTATTAAATTTTTCTTCACATATCTTAGAATTATTTCTTTTTTTTTAAAGAGAGAGAGAGAGAGAGAGAGAGAGAATTTTTAATATTTATTTTTTTAGTTTTCGGTGGACACAACATCTTTGTTTGTATGTGGTGCTGAGGATTGAACCCGGGCCGCACGCATGCCAGCAGAGCATGCTACTGCTTGGTGCTACTGCTTGAGCCACATCCCCAGCCCAGAATTATTTCATTTGTTAAGCACATATCACTTTTGTAATAAAAACATTAATAGGGAACCCCACTACTATGTATAACTATACTGCACTAATAAAAATATGAAAAATTATCCCATGATGAAAAAATTTTAAAAACAAAAAAAATGAGGAATAGCATTAAACAGAAGCAACTACTTTGTTCATTTAAAGAACACTTATAGGGGCTGGGGTTGTGACTCCGAGGTAGAGTGCTTGTCTGGCATGTGTGAGGCACTGGGTTTGATTTTCAGCACCATGTAAAGCTTATTTTTTTACATATAGATGGACACAATGTCTTTATTTTAGACATTGTGTCCATCTATATGTAAAAAAATAAGTATTCTAAATAAAAAAAAAAGAACACTTATAAAGAGTGTTTTTATATAAGGTATACATGGTCTGTCATGTTAAAAATAATTAGTAAGCTCACCAAAGGCTAAAATTCCAAAGGCTAATTATTCATTTATAGCAGAAGTTTTATGTGGCAGAGCAGTGGGGTAGCCTCTGGGGTTTTATAACATTTCTCTTGGCCTGAGTCACTATTCTAGGGAACAGCCCAATGCACTCCCCCCCAAGTTAAATGAAGAAATGTGAGTGATGATCTAGCCCAGTGCCTGGAAATAGCAAGTGCTCTAATTCACAAGGTCCCACATGATCAGGTTCATTAGCAGACTTCTAGATGGTACCCTTTTGTCCTCCTGGGGTAAATATCACATAAATTATTGAAAGCAGGGATGGAGGGCTCCTCAAAAAGCAACATATACCTTTCCTCTGAGAGTTCCCACCCTGCTACTAACCAAAGGACACTACCTTTAACCCTTTTTCCTTAGTGTTTCTTAGTCCTCCCCACAATCCTGCTATGCAGAAATGGGGTGCTTTCCCAGTTGATCATGCTCTAGCAATTTTCCAAATTGCCCGAATCTTCAGTATTTTTCAACATTGGCACTATTGACATTCTCTGGACCCAGTAATGGTTTGTTGGTGGAGGGATGGGGTGCTGACCTGTGCATTGCAGGATATTAGTGGCGTCTCTGGCCTCTACCTACTAGATGCTGATAGTGCCTCCTATGACCCCCTCCCAAGCAATAAATATCTCCAGACATTGCCAAGTATGCTTGGGAGACAAAATCGGCCCCAGTGGAACCACTGTCCTACAGCCTACGTACAGAAAACAGGTATTTTTTTCTTTTAATGTAAATTGAATCCTGTCACTTGCCTGCTAAAATCCTCCAATGTTTTCGTACTGACATTAGAATAAAAGTTGTGACTTACAAGACCCTCTATAAACTGGCCCCTGCCTTTTTTTTTTTCCTTGTAGTAACTGGGGATTGAATTCAGGGGTACTGTACTACTGAGCTACATTCCCAACTCTTTTTACTTTTTTACATTTTGAGACAGTGGCTTGCTAAATTGCTGAGGCTGGCTTAGAACTAGCAATCCTTCTGCCTCAGCCTATAGAGCTGCCAGGATTACAGGTATGGACCACTGTGTCTGGCTCCCTGCTTACTTTTAATCTCTTTTATTCCATACCACATTTTTTTTCCTCTCTAAACTGAAGCTGTACTAAGTGTTTCTGTTCCCTAAATATCATAAGCTTGTTCCCATCCCTCTTTGAACTTGCTATTCCTTTTGCCTAGAATGCATTCCCCCTAGATCTGTATATGGCTCACTGTTTACTCACAAATATCTCAGGTCAAATATTATCTAATTGGCAAGGCCTTCCCTGACTACCGAATCTAAAGAACTGCCTTACGTCCATTATCTATCACATTGTACCTTCACAGTGCTAATCACAATAGAAAATTGTCTTATTTTCTTATTTATTGTCTGCCTCTTCACCAGAGTGTAAGCTCCATCAGAGCAAGAACTTTGGAGGGACATTTCACTGGTATAGTTTGTGCTGAGAACAGTGTCTGTAACAGAGTAGGTACTCTTCTCTACCTTCCTCAGACCTCAGGTCAGGATTGAATGACCTCCTCTCGCTTTCTCTTCTAAGATTTTTTTTTAATTATTTTTTTCTTTTTAAGATTATTTTTGATTGTCGATGGATTTATTAGTTTTTAACATCTGACCTGTTAGAAAGTTGTGTGGGTTGGGGGTACCACGTATAAAGATTTAGCACATTATTTTGAAACATAAAAGCCAATGAATAATATATGAGAAATTGTTCCTTGCCCCCCAGGTTTTCAACATGCATATAAATCACTTGCAGGCACATGATCAGTACATGGGTCATGGCTTCAGTTTGGTCCTTCTTCCCATTTCAAATGGTGATGGCCCATTTGAGCGCTAAAGAATCCCAAACTCACCTGGCTCAGAGTTTCAAACAGCCTCTCTGTCCATCAACTCTCTTTACACAGTATCACGGGCCTGAAAACCTTTTATGCTGGCTTCAGGTTAAATAGTTCACTGTGTCAAAAGCGGAATGATCCAAGGTGCACCATGGTCAATAAATGTTGGCTGAATCCAGAAACCGCAGCTTGGCTATTTCTTACATTGATTTATGGGCTGTTTCCATGAAACGAAATATGATTGGTCCTCCTGACAGCTGGCTAGCTGGAAAATGGAAACAATTCTGACCTGGCTACGGGCCACGACCCTTGGGAAGCATTTCATCAGGCCAGTTTTACGTTCTGGCACGAGGCCTTCTTGTCCCGCCTGGCGGGCTCTCTGCACGTTGCAGAGATGTCTCCACTTGCAGAGACGAGATCCTGACGTGGCGGGACGACGTTTCTTTGCGCTGTGAGGAGCTTTCCACGTGTTGGGAGGAAACATCAAGGACACGAGGAAATTGCTTTCCAGAGGGGGAGTGGGAGGTCTCCACCTGCCGGGAAGACGTTCGCACCTCTAGAGAGGATGTCTCCACGCGATGGGACGAGGTCTCCACGCGGATTGTCGACGTCTCCTTGTAGTGGGCAGTCTCCACCCGTGGAGTAGACGGCTTGCCCCCGAGGGGCGAGGCCATTCTGCGGGTGTAAGAGGACCAAGAGAGTCAATGAGGCTTCCGGAGGCCCACAGCCTCCATGATACGTCATAGGATAATAAATGACGTCAGAATGGCATGTTACATCACTCTAGGCGCAAAACCCGAAAACTACGATGCTGTCACAGGTAAGAGTGCTACAAGATGACAGAGAAGCACCACGGTCCTGTGAGGGCTGAAATGTCCCTCCAAACACTGGACCCTGGTCCTCAGACACCACGTGGCTCCGGCACCGCCCCCTTGCCAGTCGTGAGCCTCTGCGGGCCAAGAGGGGCAGGCCCGGCGAGCCAGGGATGGGCGGAGCCGCCCGCCTCCTAGAGAGGCTGGGCCCGCCCCCGCATCCCATACTGCCCCGCGACCGGAAGGAGGAGCCATGGCTTCCGGAGCCTCCCCCGCCACTCGGGGCTGTTCCTCTGTCAGACTGGTGGCGATTTAGTGTCTCTGCTTGTTATGGCCGCTGCCGTCGCTATGGAGACAGGTGAGTAYTGCTCCGAGCCTCGAATCTTCGCGGATCGAACCATTCTCCGACCAGACCCCTTCTCCCGTTTCCCCGGGAGCTCCTTTCAGGCCTGATTCTCTGCAGGGTTAGGGTTGGGACCGAGAGGCGAGCAGCGTTGGAAGGGCGAAGGCAGATTTGCCTTTTTCAGAATTTGATTTGTTTAAAAATCTTTTCTCCGTAACATGCTTTGTAGACACCATCTCCCCGGTATGGGCGAGACTGAGAAGACTTAGATCTTAAACCGTCTCTTTCACTGATTTTCTGCTTCTCACATGAGCTTACATAAGTTTGAAATATCGTCAATAAACTTGTGTATCATTCTATCTCTGAAACTTCTCACGATTTTTCACTCTCTGTAGTTTTTCTTTTCAGCTTGAATTCTGAACTTTTTAAAAAATTTACTTAGCACTTGGCTTTTGCTGAACTTAATCACTGTTAGCAATTGTGGTTATTGCCTATTATTAAAATAGGGAAAGACACAGTTATAATCTACCCCAGTGATTGCTGTTCACATGCCTTCCTAGTGGCCCTAAAGGTTGTAGTTTTAGGCATTCTGGCCGCCATTTGTTTTCCTTTTTTTTTTTWAAATGACTTCTCTTTGGGGCTGGGATTGAGGCTCAGCAGCAGCGCACTTGCCTGGCATGTGTGAGGCACTGGGTTCGATTCTTAGCACCACATATAAATGAATAAATAAAGGTCTATCAACAACTAAAAAAAAAGTAAAAAAAAAAAATAAATGGCTTCTCTTTAATTTTACAGAAACTCCTAATTTATTCCTTTTAACCAGGGCTCCACTTTTCATAGATTTCTAAGAAAGCTTTTCTTCTCTTACACCCAGTTGAGGAAGACCACCATATGCTTTTCTTTATACAAAGATCTCCTAGGTTTCCCCACTGCTGTTTCTTGTTTACAAATCAATATTACATACAGTAACATTTATTTTGGTTGATTTTTGCTGTCTTTTCTCCTAGATGATGCTGGAAATCGACTTCGGTTTCAGTTGGAGTTGGAATTTGTACAGTGTTTAGCCAACCCAAATTACCTTAATTGTAAGTCATTTGATTATTAAGGAGCTAGCTGTACAAGGTTTCTGAGAGAAGAGATGCAATTCATAGTAGTATTTGCTTTTTATACCTTTTCAATTGAATGGAATTTTACTTATGCTGGCTTATATRTATAAATGAGCAAATTAGGACTTGTGAATTGAATTCATTTGTGGGAAAGTTAAATAAGTAGATTCTTTATATCAGGGGGTCACAAGTCTGTAGTCCAAGGATTGGTTTGACCTACAGATTTTTTTTTTTTCATGCTTTTCAGTTCTTGCCCAAAGAGGTTACTTCAAAGACAAAGCTTTTGTTAATTATCTTAAGTACTTGCTTTACTGGAAAGAACCAGAATATGCCAAGTATCTAAAGTAAGTTTAATTTTTATAATTCTAAATATGTATGTACTTTATTTAAATCTGAAGCACTGGTATTTAGCAGACTTCTTAATTTCACACTGGAAAAAATATGAATCTCCATTTTTAGTTATCACCACCTTAATATAAAACATCCTTATTTCTAACTTGGAATATCTACTTGCTGGTTATTTCTGCTTCCATTCTTACCTCAGTCCTCTCAAACTAAATGAAGCAAAATAATTTTCTGCACAGAAGCCAGTTTGATCTCTTAAAAATATGAAAATCAGAACATGTCACTTTCTTGCTTAGAAACCTTCAGTGGCCTTCCATTCCATGCAGGAAAAGTCCAGTCTCCTTGAGCTAAAGCCATATTATGTTCTGTTCTGTTTGACCTTTTTACCACTGTCCTCATCTCACTGAGTTTCTGATCCCAAGGAACCTAATGAAGTGACATACCCATAGACTGAAAATTAAAGATCACCCAGGAAGCGATACTTGAATAGACGGTGTTTGCTAGAGGAAGTAAACCTGAGTCTTAGAACTGCTGTCTTTTCTTCATGGCCTCATGCACTGTGTAAAATACTTCACATCCATTAATTCATTTAAGAAAATATACACACCATTCAGATTCAACAGATACTTTCATTTTAAGACTTTCTAGATTTCAAGAAGCATGTTGTAACCACAGACCTAAGTCCTTGTAATGGTAAAAATAAACCTTGAATACACACTTGTGATTTGTTTTAACCAGATAGTCAAAAAGCAAACATGAAATCTTTTTAAAAAACAAAAGTTTGAGAAGAAAAATTTCAAACTTATTCTTTGTCCAAATCACTTTCCTGACCTGATTCATAAAGCAGACATCCCATGTGCTTGCTGTAGGACCCTGCACCCTGACTGGTTCTTTATGAAACTATTGATTCATTTAATAAGCCAAAAGAAAAAAAAAAGACTTTACTCTATGTTTGTATGTAGGCAGATTTACATACTTAGTGTTGGAAGCCTTAGGCACCATCCAATTCAATCTCACATTGTTGCTGAGAGTTGGTTGTTTACACTCAGCCTAGAAATTTCCAGTGACTGTGTTCTCTATCAGGGAGAGCTGACTCCAGATGTTAACAAAGTTCTTTCTTATATTGTGATAAAATAAACCTCCTTGCAGCTTTAACCTCTTCCAAGTTTTGTTTTTGGGTTAGTCCAGAATCACTTTATCACCTCTTGGAGACTATAGCCATATAGATATTTGAATTCAGAAACCTTTGCAAATTAATTCATTGGGCATTTCATTCCATCTGCACAGGTTTTTAGATTTTTAAAATAGTAGCCACCAATTTGAAGATGGGAAGGTTTTTTTTTTTCCCCCCCTTTTGGTGGAACTCTAGGGATTAAATTCAAGGGCCTTTTACCACTGAGCTATATCCCTAGCTTTTTTTTTTTTTTTTTATTTTGAGACAGTGTCTAAGTTGTCCAAGCTAGCCTTGAACTTGAGATTGTCCTGCCTTAGCATCTCATGCACCTGGGTTGACAAGCATGAACATGCTGGGTTAAAAATGGGAAGGTTTTATATAATAATCCAAATTTCTAGCTACTCTAAAATCAGGAAGAATGCCAGGTTATGGTGCACACCTGTAATCCCAACAACTTGGGAGGCTGAGGCAGGAGGATTGCAATTCAAAGCCAGCCTCAGCAACTTAGCGAGTCCCTAAGCTACTCAGCAAGACCCTGTCTCCAAATTAAAAAAAAAATAAAAAGGGCTGAATATGTAGCTCAGTGCCCTGGGTTCAATCCTTATCTTATTTTTGAAAAAGTCTAATTGTAAGACTCCCCTTTTGTGCCTCTTCTATTTCATCTTGTGGATTTATAACCTGTCAGAGAATATTAATATCCTCTCAAATTATTTATAATTCCTTACTTGGTCTGTTTGACCTTTTTACCACTGTCCTCATCTCACTGAGTTTCTGATTCCAAGGAACCTAATGAAGTGACATACCCATAGACTGAAAATTAAAGATTACACAGGAATCGGTACTTGAATAGACAGTGTTTGCTAGAGGAAGTAAATCTGAGTCTTAGAACTGCTGTCTTTTCTGAGCATTGTTTTCTACAAGTTTGATATGATAAACGATAACTGTGTCTCAATTCCAATTATTGACTAAATGCTTCTTGAGACCATTTTCTTTGTTGTCTGTCACATTTATTTATTTTTCAGATGAAGAAATGGTACTTAGAGTGTTAAATACCTTATTCAAGGTCACTTAGCTGGTACTGTGGGCCAGATCTTTTAACTACTGATGTCTTGGAAAGGAATTAGCCAGGGCAGTGTGAATAAAGCATTCTAGGCTTCTTCCAATAATTATAGGCAACTATTTACTTTTGGAGTATAAATAGAAATCTTTAACATCTTGGAAGGATCTGTAGTGTTAGCCCTTCTATTCAGTATCCTTTCCAGACCTTTGCAGTATTGATTTCATTTGAAAGCTTGTTAGAAACGCAGAAGTCAGGCTTCAAAAACCTACTGAATCAGAATCTGTTAATTTTTTTTTTAGATTGTAGTACAGGGGACTGAACTCAGGGCCTCATGCATGCTAAGTAAGAGTAATACCACTGAGCTGTACCCTTAGCTCCCAAATCAGCATTTTGAGAAGTGATTTTTATGCACATTAAAGAAGCAATGCCCTGGTCTATAAATGATTAACAAACTTTAGTCAGTTTGCATATCACTTGCAGTTTGGGTTTGTGTACTCCCTATATGATTTAATGTATTTTAATAGTTTTAAACTTAACTTCTTTTTAATTTGAAATAATTTCACTTACAAAATAACTAAGAATAGAAAAGAGAATTCCTATGTATTTTACATTCCTATTCACATCACTATGGACTTGGGTTTTTTTGTACCCTGTAGATTACAATTACGTCTGTTCTAGCTAATTATTCCAAACTTGGCCACTGAGAGCATCTTCAGATGGGCTTCCAAGTGCTTTTTCAACAGTTTCTCATCAATGCTTAGCACTTCTTTTTGGCACAGCATACCAAGCTTATCTTTATTTTTCCGTCCTAGACCTGGAATTACTCATTTCTCTAAAGAACTCTGGAAAATGCTGTTTGAAAACCACAGTCTGGGCACTAAGCATGCTCATTCGTCATTGCTTCTAAGCCCTTTTAGAACGAACACAAAGCTAGAAACTGTGTACATGCACACACATACACATCTGTTTTCTATGTCTGTATATACATTTAAAGCCATGAGTACATACTAGTGTTTTCAATTCTAGCTCAATAACTTAGGGTTCATTGGAGCCTCCCTGCTTTTCTTATCTATAACTTCTTTTCTGACTGCCAAAAAGTTGGCTGTTTATCCACAATATACTTGTTAACTCAATCGAGAGTATAATAATTTTAGAATTGCTCTAATACCTGTGAAAATCTATAGAACAGTGTTTGTACATAGTTCTTTTTGAAGCTGACTCACAATAAAAATTGTCTTTTTTCACTATTGGTGGAAAACCGATAGTTATAAATTAAATACATAATTGCTAAAATTGAAAGTGTTCATGTTACTTACCCTGGAAACCTCTGTACTAGAATAGAATGATTTATCTCCAGAATTTGACTCTGTGTATCACTGTGTTGTGTGATCTTGGGCAAAGTTATTTAACTACTCTGAACTTAAATTTTCTTACTTTTGAAAATTTTTTTCAATAATGACTTTTGATGACTAGCTTCTCTACATAAGGGGTTTGGGAGTGGACAATGGACCTATACTATACTACCAAGGTGCACTAAGTTAATGTTAATAGAAATGGTAGGCTGTACAATTAGATGTATTAGAACTGACATTATTGACTCAAATTATGTTGGTCATTAACTTATAAACTTAAACCCAGGTACCCTCAGTGTTTACATATGTTAGAACTGCTCCAATATGAACACTTTCGAAAGGAGCTGGTGAATGCTCAGTGTGCGAAATTCATTGACGAACAGCAGATTCTACACTGGCAACACTATTCTCGGAAGCGGATGCGCCTTCAACAAGCTCTGGCAGAACAGCAACAGCAAAATAACACGTCAGGAAAATGAAAAGCTGGAAACAGACCAGGCTCTTAAAACTATATATAATGTATTTCCATTGTACAGTGAAGACAAAACAAGAGACTTCCTGCCCACCTTTATCGTGGTAGCACCTGGATACTTTAGTGTGCTTTTAAATCCAGCTAACTTTTTATTGTTAATACATTATTTCTGTTCAGCCAAACTTGTTCTACTTTGATTTCCGGATGGATTTGTAAATTTTTATTAACATTTAACAGAATCAAGAAAGAATGGAAATGTTAGGTGCAGGGGATTGGGCTATCAAATTTAATTAAATCTAAGCCTATTTCATGACTTAAAATAGTCCCTAGGGCAAGTCCTCTCTTGAATCTTTTTCTCTCTTGGATCACTTTTTCCACCCCTCTTATCTACTAAAAGAAAAGACTAGAGTGGAGGACTTCTTGTTAAATCACAAAGCAAAAATCCCATTAAAGGTTTTTACATTCTATAGGAAAGGAAATACTTTGCCAGATTTTTTTAGTTGTAGTTGGACACAATACCTTTATTTCATTCATTTACTTTTATGTGGTGCTGAGGATCAAACCCAGGGCCCCATGCGCCCCATGCCCCACAAATGCTAGGTGAGTGCTCTACCGCTGAGCCGCCATCCCAGCAGCCAGATAGCAACTTTAAGAAAGAATTGTTAGTATGTCACTGACCTAGTGAAAGGTATGGAGAAGATTGGTGTTTGGACTCTTGACCTCAAGTTTGAACAAAGATGAGCCTCAAATGCTTGTGTTCATTGGGAAAGTTAATATTTGGCCAGTACTACAAACCACATGCACCTTAAATGCTGCCTTGCATTCTCATTGATCCTTATTTGTAAAGGAGGAAAAAAGCTATTAAGCACTAAAATCAGTGTGTCTGACTCACATTCTAGAGTTCTTATGTTATCTGGTCTCCAGGCTTCCTCAAGTGAAGCACATTCACACAGCTATAAAACAGAACTGCCTGAATTAAGCAGCTGGATTAGATTCATGCTGTACTTTCTCTAAGTGGTTAAATTCTACATTCCAAAAGCAAAGAAGTGGTTTTAAAAATATCTGTTGTTCTGCAAATTCCTGGAATTTAAGATCCTAATCCCTTCAGAGATTTGGAAGTTGTCTATTTTTTTAACCTCCAATAATATATTCCTTTGAACTATGACTGCCACTGCTGAACTTATTTTACTCAAATCTTTAAGATGGCTATATGTTACAAGAAAATTGAAGGTTCATGAGTATTTTTAAAAAGCATTCTTTATTGTTTAGACGTAAGCTAATTTTCATGTCATTTATTTACTGCTAAATTGAATGCAAATTTTCATATCATTTATTTACTGCTAAAATAAAGTCATTATTTATACTAGAGCAAACCAGGAAATCAAGATACAGTTGCCATCATTAAATTTTAATCTTCAGAGAACAGCATCTCCACAAGGTTGGCCTGAAGGCACTCTGATTCTACCAGTTTTTGAGGCTGTAAGAAAAGAACAGTCAAGTCTTAAGCACTGCCATAAGGTGTTATTAGGAGTGGAATAAGTTTTAGCTTGAATGACACAAATCATTGAATATAAAAAACCTGCCAGAATAACAAGTTATAACAAGTCTTATAAAAACAGTTAAGACATTTTGCCTTAAGGTGAATCATTACAATACTTGGCTTAAAGGCCTTAAACCCCAAATACCAGGAATCTCCACTAACCAAAACAGGAGACAGCAAGCCCAAAGCTGTCCTTTGCCCTGAACTCCTTAATTTAGGATCCCAAGTGCATGACTGAAATAAAGGAGTTGCCCTTTCTTTTAAACCTGAATAATGTATTAACAGAAAATCATTATATTAGTGCTTTAAGGAATTGTGAGTCAACCAACTTTCTGGCTATTAAATTTTTAAAGAAAAGGGGTTTTAAAATGTAAAAAAAAAAAAAAATCAAGTATTTAAATATTTGCATTATTTTAGCAGTCTATTGGGATTGAGTAGGGGATGGTCAGCCTGGTTGTATATCTTTTAAAGCATGCTGAACAACAATGGGATGTTTGAGATGGAATGTCAACATCTTTTCAAATATGACTCTAGAACAGGTTAAAAGTGTCTTGACAAAGTGAATTAGAATTCCTAAGATATTTAAAGAATGATAACCTGCTAGGCTCAGAACCTCACCTGTAATCCCAGTGATGGGGGAGGCTGAGGCCAGCCTCAGCAATTTAATGAGGCCCTAATTACCTTWGCAAGACCCTATCTCAAAATAGAAAGGGAATGGGATGTGGTAAATGCCCCTGGATTAAGTCCCTGGTATCAAAAGAATAAATACACTCACCGTTCCATATTTAATTAGTGTAGGCACTGCAGTTACTTTCAGTTGTTTTCTGAAGTCATTATTTGGATCTTTCCAACTATTCCCCAAAAAAAAGTTATGAAAAAAATTTACTTGGTTATACTGTTTGCTTAGTATATGATGTTCTGATATTTAGTATTTTAGTAATCACTCATGTTGTAAACATTTTAAAAGTTGAGGACTATAAATTACTACCCTTTGCAAATTTTTAATTTAAAATGTGACTAAGATGCAAAATACTATAAAGCCAGTTAAGTACCGAACTGAAACAGGCCACATTCATTCAGTTACCCCTACTTAATTCAAGAGTCTGAATATATGCATTATAAATTTGAATTTAATAGGTCCCCGTTGTTTTAACTTATTACAGTTTATCTTATAACAAAGAATCTGTGCAAATCTGAGGGCCTTTTCACCTGTTTGTAAGTCTAGTGCATGTCCGAAACACAACATATATACATTGTTACTTACTAAGGTTTCTCTCCTACTTGGCAGTGGATGAACACACATTCTTTACTAACATGCTTCAGCCCCTCTCGAACAACTGGTTCCGCTTAAAAAAAAAAAAAAAAAGTTAACATAAAATAATTGCACATCAACTCCACAATCCTCTCCCCTCTTCCCCAGTCTTGATAAGTACTCAGACTTTAACCTGTAGTTAGACTTTTCACTTAACAGAGGAGTTTAACAGAAGTCAGGTATTTTCTGGTCTTAGAGCTACTTTGATCTACACCACACGCCCCAAACAAGGAAAAGCAGATATATTTGCAGACTGAAAAGTGACCAACTCACGTATACGACTAGATCATTTGGGGAAATGAAGTTTTAAAAACCGGGCTTCAAGATCATCTGGGTCACAAGTCCAAAAGAAAAGAGCACTCGGTGTGGCGGGGAAGGACTTGATGGGAAACGAGAGCAATTCAGATGGCCTCACAGGTGTCCAAGACCAAGGCTCCCCCTTATACCACTTCGAACCCCACTTTGTGGCTGTACCCTCCGTCTTCCCACCACTTTCCGGCCTCACCCTGCACGCAGTCCGGACACCAGCTTTTCCCTTCGGCGTCCTTAGAACCCGTAAAGTAGGCGAAAATGGTCTTGCCCAGGTGCTGCTTCACAGCCTGATTGAACTCCTCGAAGCCCGACACGCTCACCTCCTCGTAGATAGCCATGGGTACTGCGTACTAGAGGAGACTACGTTGCCGTTGCCGCTGCCGCTGGGCGGGTCGCCCTCGGGGTGGGGAGAAGCCATTTCCGGGTGGGCGGGAATAGGACCGTACCTCGGGATCTAGCGCTGCTCTGCCAAGCTACGGAGCCTGTGAAGGCCATAATTAACCAGAACCGTCTTTCTCCTGTTGTTTTTCAGTTCTTTCAGGGCGGTTTCCCACCCAAATTCAGGCTTCTTCCCTGATCTGGGTCCCGGTTCCGGCCTCATGGAGATTAGCTGCAAAACCTGCAGCCCTGCAACACCTGGACCGCTCAAGCGTCTGGGGAGCCTCTTCGGCTCCCAAGCAGCCTTGCGCCTATTGCTATGGCGACTGGGAGAGCGGCCGGAAGCGAGGCCTAGTTGGGGGCCCCACTGCCCGCCTACTGGTAGCCGCGCCTCGCCCCGGGCCAGGTGGGCTTGAGCTGGAGCTGGGGGGATTCTGGGAAGCTGAGTTAGGCGTCACTGACCTGAGGGGAAGGAGATCTTGACCCGGCAGATCCTTCTGTTTCGTTTCCCCGATGAGTTCTTCTCCTACCTAGCTTTAGTGGGGTCCGGGTCCGGGCCCGGGGGGGCGGGAGCCCGGGACTGGGCGGGGGTGGTTGGGGAGGCTGGGTAGGAGAAAGGCTGCGAGGGCCTGACTCGAATGTGTGAGTGCGTGTGTGGAGCAGCCTAGGGGGCCAGGTGCTAAGACACACAGTGCCCCGGAGCTGCGCTGGGGAACAGAATTGTCTTGGAGCTATGAGTGGGGCGACTGGCCGTGGGTCCTTGCCCAGGCTGCGCAGGGGCGACCTGGCGGCAAAGATGCTGGGTCGCTGCGTGGGCCCTAGCAGGTTGGGACGGGAAGTTCGTCGGCCTTGGGGGAGGAGATGGGGTGTAGGGACGTCTCGAGGCTTTGGAGCGAGGCGCCGGGCGAGGTCCTCGGTGTGGGAGACGCGGTGTGTGAGTGCCGAAAGGCGGCAGCGACCATTGAGGAGGAGACAGTCTTCGGAGGTTGCCGGAGCGAGCGAGGCTTTGGRAACGCCTGGGGCTGCAGGCTTTATTGAGGCTGCAAGGGACCGCAGGGTCGTGTGGGTGAACGGGGCTTTGGGCGAGCCCGAGGTGGTGGGGCCCACAGGGTCTGTGTGGGTGACTGGATCTGGGGAGGAGGCAAGTGATAAGAGTCCCCGAGGTTGTGAGAGAAAAGGTCGTCCAGGAGCTCTGGGACATGGGAGCATTCTGGAACTGTGGTTGAAGGTGCAGGCTATGAGAGCAGCTTCAGGATGTGGGGATGG